GAGTCACAGTGAGGAGTCTAAGCTAAGGTCACTTAATTCCTGGCAAAAGTGGGTAAGTTGCTTACCCACTGTTGTCCCACAGTTTCTACATCCCATGGCCTAGATGTAACCACAGTGTCTACCAGATATGAGCGTAATGAAGATTAAATGACTCCGTGTTCAAAAAAGCAACTGTATACTGCTTATCACTATTTTCCCGCTAGGGTCTCTTCTTCCACCCTGGATACTCATTAAAGGTTTCCAGGCAGCCTGAGACAGCTCATCAGCAGAGCAAATGCGTGGACCTGAGCTTGATCCCCAGAATATGTGTGAAAAAGTCAGGGGTGGTGGCACACACTTCAACCCCAATGCTGGAGAAGGCCCAACAGAAGAATCCCTGGGGCTCACTGACTGGCCAGCCTCACTGATCAGCAAGAGTCCCTGTCTCGGTGAACAAGATGGACGGCACCTGAGGAAGGACATCTAGGGTTGACCTCTGGCTTCTACACGCTCCAAACATGCAGCTGCACCTGAACACGGAATGTCATGCTTTTAATATTATTATTTATGTATTCATATTTTCATTCTTAACCACTTGAGGGTAATACAAAGAGTTTGTAAACAACTCAGGAAAATAACAAAACAAAATAAAAACTTGAAGCAATCCTCAGGCTGTCCCTAATTTTATGGAATAAGCTGTTCATAACACCACTGTGTGCCATGGACTCTTAGGCTAACTCCTCCATCCCCAGAACTAAGACTCAACACTGATAGTTTCTCCAATGGGATCTCAAGTAGCCCAAGCTTGCTCAAACTTACTAGGTAGCTGTGGCTGGCCTTGAACTCCTGACCTCCCTGCTTCAGGCTCCTAAGTGCTAGGCCTACAGGAATACAGAACCATATTCAGCTCAATTATATAAATCTTTATCTTCTATAGGGTATTAAGTGAGAAGCCAATTTGTTAAAGAGCTGTGTGTGGAATCTTAGAATTTTCACCCATAGAGATCCATGACTATCTATCTCTTTATAGATGCATTTTTTCTCACATTTACAAGAACCTATAGAAAGCCTCCAGGAAATCCTCCAAAGTTATGAAGCACACCCATACGAATACGATTATCAAAAGTACAGTAGCTAGATTGCTACAAATGAACAATGGCTAAGTTGTTAAGTGGCTGCCACAATGAAGACGCTCGCCTGTCACATGAGAAGAATCAATCAACAGTAGCAAAGATCAAAGGCATGCTGGAATTGTTGCTAGCAGGAGCAGGGGCACCATCGAAAGTCTTCGGGAAACCGCTTAGAGGAAAGCAAAGGAAGCGTTTGTTTTAAGCGGAGAGAGACACCGCACGGGCTGCGTGTCAAAAGCGGCCTTCGTTTTCTTACACATGCATATTAGAGCTAGCTAAAATTAGCTCAAGTTCCTATTTTATAAAGGAATAACTGTTTCAACAAGATTTCATGGCATTCAGTTGAACACAGACTTTCTAGGGTTCCGAGGCTCTCATAGAAGAAGCCCCCCCTCCACGATCCACCCCTGCAACTACCCAACCCCTCCTGCCACCCCAGCTTTTGAAAAACTGGCAAACAAAGGCTGTGCCACCATTCAGGCTCCCCTTCTTGCTGCCTCTTACCTTCGCCCTACGCATTCACCGCCAGCTCCTGTGTCCTTAGATCCCGTCATGCCTTTTGTGTGTCCACCCCTTTGCCAGGCACAAGACCCCAAAGGCCAAATTCAAAACCCTTTTAATGCCAGCGATGCTTCCAAACTGCTCTTTGGACTGACTTCTCAGCTATTTCCATACCCCTGCCAGTCTCCTTGACTTCTGCAACTCAGAACCGCGCCCCCCCTCTTCAGCCACAGTTGCCCAGCCTACATACGACATACAAGCAAGCACTTGCTTGCTGTCCAAGCCGCTTGCAAGACTTTCCTCTCTCTCTCTCCATCTCTTCCCACAGAAGTGCAATCCCAGCCTTCAGAGACCAAATCACATGATCCTCCTCCTCACAGTCTTTCCTGAGCTCCCACCACCCTTTTAAATTCCTTCCGGGTCAGAATGTACCCCTGAGTAAGTACAGCCCAACCCTTTCAGTTTTGTTAGCTATTTCAGCGCATTCCTCCTTTCTCGAGCCTGGTCACGAAGAATGTATAATCTCCTGTAGCTCTTACTCACTTTCACATACACAGCACCATGCAGTAGTTAAAAGAAACACACACACAGTGAATGTATGAATGAATCACTTCTTTACATAGATAGTAACGGTGAATAAGTTAGGTCATAACTTGTTTAGCTGCATCATCTTTATAAAATAACAAGAGCCAGAAATAATAACCCAGACTTTCATTTAGAAGAATAACATGAATGTATCAGAATATAACATGATATTCTCTCCCTGCCCACATACTGCCATCAGTTGTGAGGATCATAATGAGGCCAGTATGGATGCAAAATGCTTAGATAAAGTGTAGACGTTTCTTTTCTGTGCAAGCACAGAAAATATCAACAGCCTAACATTCCAGGTGACATTGCACTATTTTGTCAGTAAGGTCGTGAGTATCACGACACTTCGCCGAGTGGTTATGAGGCCAGAAACCCCTGCATCTCAATAAGCAGGCTATGCTGCCCAAGATAAGGCTCCTGGCAGCCTGTCTGGTTCGTAAGAAAATTCTTGAGATTATTTGGTTATAGATAATGACTCTCTTCAAATACCACAGGTTTTAAAAAGAAAAGAACACCTCACCCCACATACTCCTGAACCACATCTCCTGAAAGGTCAGTGCAAGGACCATCTGCCTGGATTAGGCAGGTCCCCCAGAAGAAGGAAGGTAACAGTGGGCCACTCCACCCTGCCCATTAGCAGACACCTGCAGATCTTCAGAGGCTTGCCCTGCCAGTAGCTAGAGATCATTCTACTACCATTTAAATGGAGTCTCTCAAATCCACAGTCAATAAAACAGAAAGAACCCATTTGCATAATTCAAAAGAATACAATGTCTGCGGCCTGTTAACTCCCTCCTTTCTCTGCCTTGCCCCACAGAGGACTCTTAGATTTTTTTTCTTTCTGTCTTTCTGTCTGTCTGTCCATCTGCCTTGGGAATTGAACCCAGAGCTTCACGCATGCTAGGCAAGTGCTCTCCCAATGAGCTGTATTTCCAGATTTCCAGCTGCTCTTTCTAAGGTTCAAACATAATTATTAGTCAGGCCTTATTATTATTATTATTATTATTATTATTATTATTCAAACAAACTACAAATAACTCTATTGATGCAGGCTATTCATCAGTTTATCTTACAGTGCAAAAAAAAAGATATGCATCCTATCACAGTAAAGTTAAGATAAGTTCATAATTTAGAATTCAGAAAAATAAATAGAACCCTTATTGGCTTTGGAGAGCCACAAATGCCTACAGGGTTGGTCCAAAGGCCAAGGTCTAGGTATATTTACTTGTTCTTAGTCATGTATGGTCCAGGAGCAGCCAAGGAAAAAGAAGAGATTTACATTCCTCCTCCCTGTCTAGAGATAAGCTATGTGCTAACAATGATAGCTTATGAGAACAGGTCATATGAGAACAGACATATGCCCGGCACACTCAAGCCACACACATGCAATTTTTTTTCAGTCCATCCTCACAGTAGCCCTCTGTTGTCCTCATCTTGCAGGAAGAAACCGAGGCATGAACAGGACACAGGCATGTGCACAATCAAAGCAACATCTTGATATTTGAAATCCAAATCCTCTGGCCAGTGTCAGAGCTTCGGGCTCTTATCTTGGAGGCCGTGGAGCTTGGACTTAGCTTAAAATAAACTGGTTCTGTGGCCTAAACACAGAAAACCGGTGAATTTTCTTGGAAGTTTGATTTTGTTTTGCTTTTTGAGAAGGGTCTCGGGCTGTATCCCAAGCAATTCTCAAGCTCACTGCATTGCTGCAGTTAGCCTCAGACTCTGGCCCATCCTCCTTCCGCCTCAGTTCTTCCTATCAAGTGTTGTGATCACAGACATGAGCCACCATGCCCGGTTCCACTGGGCCATTTTGTAAATGAACACTTGGTAAAGCCAGTATCTACCTCTTGCTGAATAGATTTTGCTGTCCTCGATTTGGGGTGTGTGGTTTGGTAAAAGCGCCTTCTGCTTCTTACCAAGAAAGGAAACAGGAAAGTTCCAGAAACACTTCCTTCATTCCAGCAGACCAGCGGGGAACATTCTGATTCAGGAGGTCTAGGGTGGAGCCCCAAACTCTGTTTGAAACTCTCTGAGTGAGTCTGTTGCCCAGCCAGCCTTTGGAACTTCTGATGTTGCCTGGCTTCACGGCTTCAAGCAGAGCTACTCTCAAGGCAGCTAGAAATCGATTTTTTATTTTCTATTCCACAACCTCCTCCCTCGCCTGGTTGTGTACACTAGTGTCCCCAACCCCTTTCAGTCCCACGTCCTAGCTGAATTCCATTCTCTCTGGATTTCACAGAAGGGCACTGGCCTCTTGTCTGCTCTTTAACAGAGAACCCTGGGTCAACAGTCCTTGCTTACACGCTGTTTCGAGACTCTCTCAGCCAGAAAAATTTACTGTATGTGAGGAAATCAGGAAGTTGTAAAATCCAAACAGACACAAAGAGACTCAAGATTCAACAACTCCTGGCAGCCACTGACCCAACAAACAGTTTTCTGCTTCCCTGCAAACGAATTATACTACAGTTAGAACCTAAAACGGGAGAACCAGTCTCAGGGGAGGTGGCAGCTTAGTGTTCTTAACTGACTTAAGAAAAGGTGACATGTAAAATGAGCAGGCACAAGCCCCAGGCAGCAGGCATCGAGCAAGACAAAGTCAATGCAGATTTCTTCGTGAACCAAATAGACCACAACCATAGATGCTTTGATCCAATTTTTATACACACACACACACACACACACACACACACACGCGCTGGGCAATTTTCCATACACTACAGTTATGTTTCACAGTTTACAGAGTACACAGCTGATGAGCAACAATCCCAAGTCAGATAGAAAACATCATAAACCTCTCACCTGACGCGAGATGCATTCCCTGCAGACGGAGAGGATGAAGAGACTCTTGGACAAGGATGGCAGACAGATCTGCAGCTTGAACGGGCTGGCCCGGTGACTTGTTTCGGGGCGCACGATGCTTCTACAGTGGTCCAGGAAGTGCAGGAGAAGAAATCCAAGATGAAAGACCAAAACCAGAGAAACAAAAAAGAATAAACTGCTTTTTAAAAGATGTCTACCTTAAGATGTACGCACTGAAATACAAGTCGTAAGAACAAAACTTTGCATCTTGTTCTAAAAGAGTTACACAGAGAGCGGTCAGCTTAAGACAGGTCCGGTTTTATTCCACAGGGCTCAGGGGATTCAACATATGAAATCTAGGCCACCTCTTCAGCCAAATGAAAACCTTGGTTCTACGTTTACGGCAGCCACTGTCATTTTCCTCAGACAGCTGACACACAAGCCCATGACAGTCATCACAAATAGCATCGGGTAGAAAGTGCACATGGATAAAACAGTAATTGGGCCAAAAGCCTAATTTGAACTGAGTATATATTAATCTATCCACATGCCATTTGAAAGACAATCATGACGGAACATCACTATTAACATACTAGCCCAAAGGTAAAGGGGGAATCAAAAGCAGAGGACAATAAAGTTGCATTTTGAGAAAAGGTCTCATGTAGCTCGGGCTGATCCCAAACTTGCTATGTAGCTCAGGATGACCCAGAACTTCAGATCACAAGTGCTGGGAATACAGTCATGGGCCACCATGCCCAGTTTACACGATGCTAGGGCATCAAACTTACAGCTTTGTGCAAGGTAGACAGGCATCTTTACCAACTGAGGTACTTGTCCAGCCCTAAAAATTAAATTATTTCATTGTTGAACAGATACTGTCTTCACTTTCATTTTGCCCCAATCGTCAATCAAGGTTACCCACTGTATGAGAAATTCGTGAATGGATAAATGAAAGAAGAAATGAATGAATCTTCATGGTACTTCTGAGATAATTTTATGAATTAAAGATGTATGCACAGACACAGAAGTAGACAGCTTGATTGGCTAGCATACTTTTTAGCCTTAGCCATTAAAATCATATAATGAAGTGCTGGGGATACATAATTAACCAGATTTTAAAAAAAAAGAAAAAAAAAGAAAACTCAGCCATGCTGGTGGGATAAAAAATAAACAAAAAAAAAAAAAACCCTCAACTAAGTGAACACTGAACTGGTTTTCAGTCAGATCGCTGGAGCCGAGCTGCATGTGTTTAGGCTGATTTTAAATTTAGTCTGGATTTCCTACGCTCACGCCAGGTAACAGTAGGAAGGAGAAGGCCCAGAATTATATTGGGTGTCAGAAAGAAACTATTCTGGAACTATGAATATGATCTCCAATGTGAGTACTCTGTAAACAGGTGAGGAAGCCAATTATCCTCGGGTACACGGCAGCTCATCTCAGGAGTCATAATTATTTTCAACCATACACACTCGCTATTTTTAAGAGCACAGCCCAGCTGGAAAGGAAAATAACTTCCATTTCTTTCCAGCACTTTGCAAAGTAATGAATAGTAGCCAAAGTATTCTTCCTTCTAACGAATCCATTCACCACCAATTTATCTAAGCATCTATTAGGAGCCAGGGGCTGCTCTGCAAAAGGACTTTTTCACAGTCTTCGGTTTCCCCGTGTGTAACCTGTGTATAGAGAGAAAAGCTCAAGTGGGCTATAATGTTCTTACAAAAAGAAAATAAGACACCATCTTTCCACTGAGAAGGCTGCTGGGTTACAAATGGTGACCAAGTTCAACAGGAGTTCAGCAAATTCTATTTCATCTAAGCGCAGCATTTATTTTAAGGGCAAGGGAAGTCTTGATTTTTATCTGGTAACATTTCAGAGGAAGCTCAAAATACTTCTTAATCACTTTCCCAGAAGCTGCAGGTACTGGAGACTTGGGCTCGCTTGTATGTGGATTTGTGTGTGCACAGGGCCCTGTTTACACATCGCCCGGCAGATAAGGCTTGCTAGAGTCCAAATTACAGTCTCCTCCCATTCTGCTGAAGTGCACAGAACAGTCAAATGTGATGTAAATGCTGTCAAATATTAATTTACTCTAGCATTGGCATGCTTCCTTCTTTTGAAAAGCATTTGTCCTGACACCCTAGCCAGAGTAAAAAAGAGTTATTCACTTGTGTATCCCAACAAAGGAAAGAAACGCAAGAATAAAGTCAAGGCCACATGAACTCACAATAAGCAAGACAGTAAATGATGGAACATGATAGACAATGACACACACTAAAATTGGAACCTTTAACATTTCAAAAGCACATATCAGAGAAACACAGTACTACGAATAGTGGAGGATTACCAAGCCAGACGGCCCAAATAATTAAACAGGTGATGGTATACAAACACCAGGAGGTGATACTGAGTCAGGACCAGGCCAAGGGCACAAAAAGAGAAAGTTTGCCATCCACAGTGGCAAGAAAAGACCTTCTCTTTATGCAAGAAGCACACATGCTTACAGGTCGGCAGCTGTAATCACTACTAAAAATATCTGATAAATACATTGTTCTAAATCTGTCCCCTTAAGGCACTTTGGTGGAAGCAGGATGAGTCCCTATGACACCAAATGATGCCCTGCAGTCAGGGAACACCTACCCTCTAAGCCCGAGGTCTTATTACACCATGCGTTTTCTGAAAAGGGATTTTCAAGTAGAATAAATTTGTGTTTGTTCGTTTACAGGATGGCAATTATTCCTGCATTTTCATTATCCCACAAATGGTATGCATTAAGAGTTATAGAAAAATCAATGAAACACGTCTGCTAACATCAAATATTCCAAACAAAGGGGCGCGTGAGTGGCCTTGTTTGTCTATAATAGCTCTAAATATGTTTTAGTTCATGCGTGTAATATGTAGTTCATAGTAGTAACAGGTAGCATAAGCATTTCTAGTAAATTATCCTAAAGGTTTATAAGGATTATAAAATACGCCACTGCACTGATTAAAATCAAAAATACTTATAAATAAAATTGGGCAAGGAAAATAAAAACACCATTTCCACAAATAAAGATAAATTACCACACAGCATTCTTTTTCTTCCATAATTTTAAGTATTTATTTTTTTAAAAAAAGCCTCAATCCAATTATAACTCTTTTAGCCAATATTTTTTCAATTATGTAAAGCTAGCATCCTATATATGCATCATCATGGGACTGCTCACAGAAAATTGGAATGAGTACATTTATTTTACTAAACCAAATTAAATGCAACTAAAATAATATTACTGATGACTCAGATTTTCAAATCTTAAACAACAAACAAAAGAAAAACTATGTGTTAGCCCTTGGGCAGAAATTGTGGCCTCCACTGCTATTTCCACAATTTGTTGTTTTTAACAAACATTTAGCAAAATCAAGGGCTGCCTCTGTTCTCAGGTTGGAAGTATGGCCAACAGGATCAAAATCTGTTCTTTGAAGCAATTAAATTTCACAAACCTAAGTCTCTTTAAACCAATCGTTCAGACTTGCTTGCTCCTCTGAGAATGCAGAGCCTGGGTATCAGAGACCCCAACCCCCTAAAAAAAATAATAACAGACTGTCTCTTGAGAAGGCTCTTTTCATATGTAAGTATTTAAGCTTTCCTGAGTCTAAATTATGTGTTGCCTTCAGACCACTAGAGTTTAAAGAAATCAACATTCACTCCGACATTCAAGTGCTCACATGAGCTCGGGCTTTTAGTAAAGTGTATTTATTGACTGTCTCCTAATAGGGAGCACAGTGAACTGCTACAGTCTATTAGTCAGTAGAAGCTGCCAGGTCAAGGTATGTGCTGGAGCAAAATGCTCTTGACATTTCAGGATGAGAGAGAAAACAAGGTCACCTTATACAAAAGGAATGTGAATCCTTGAACTCTCTAATGACAGCGGGAGCCATAGGAGTGTTGACTAATGTTCTAGCAATCTCTTCACCCTGGAGGTTCCTGGGACTCCTGGCGGTGGAAACTTTTGACCATCTCCAGCTATTTGATATGTAATCTGATGGCTCAAGGGTTTTTCTTTAATCTCTCGCTCAAAGCCACCTGAGAGGCCTGAAGTCTCTCTATGCTGTTTCTAACAAAATACCACTGCTGGCCGAACCCTCTTAAGACGAAATCGGGCGGGGAGACGGTGACGCCTTTCCCAGTTCTCGATTAAGTACAATACACTTCTCATATTTATTTTAGCAAGGGTTTATTTGTACACTGAGAAATACATGCACACGTTTAATCACAAATCAAGCCCTTCTCCATCTGTTGCAAAAATAGAACCGAGGACCTCCAAGGATTGTGTAAAACTTAAAATGTCTATCCTCTATTTTAGACCCTGTCTTCACATGAATTCACCTCTCAGAAATAATAGCTCATTTTAACCACAGTGATGCTTCACCGGACCAGGCCACAATAATGTAGCAACCACATAAACTCTGTAACCAGGGGAAACTCATAAACCCCCTGTGAGGAGAACTGAGTAACTTTCCCAATTTTGGCCCTGGAGGGGTGGGAGACTCTCTCTCTCTCTCTCTCTCTCTCTCTCTCTCTCTCTCTCTCTCTCTCTCTGTGTGTGTGTGTGTGTGTGTGTGTGTGTGTGTGTGTGTGTGCTGGAGGGATTCTCTCTGTGTGTTTTTCTTCCTTTCTTCTATTTTAACTGATTTAGCTACTTGGCCTTGAAACTATAAACTGACTGGCAGGGTCACAACTAAATTATGACACACTCAGAGTTACTAAAGCATTCCCCTTCATTTGGGCTGTCTGAACAGTGCCAGGCTCCAGCAGCTAAAGCTATTTTTCTGTTGTCTTTTCTGTCATAATATAATTTTTCTGGCCTCAGCAGGCTTAAGGTGGTACCGGAATGCAAACACTGGCCTGCAGCTCTCTAGATGTTTACTAAGTTATACCCTAAAGTACCATATACACTGTTTACTGGGCAAAGCTCCATGCGTGATACTGGCTTGTAGCACCTCTCACTCAGCTGCAAAAAAATATCTTCAGTTATTACTGGAGATCATCAAAGAGCAAGAGCAACAGATCCAAATTAAGGAAGATAGCATTCAGAATGCCTGCCTACTGTCAACATCCCTTTTAATATTATGGTCTGTGAGGTTTTAAAAATGTGAGAGTGGGGAGTATACTTTCCGAAGAAGCCATCTCCTCTTAGTGAACTACCTAGAAAGCCAGCCAGCACTGTCAGCAATTTCATTTCTCAAGCATGGCTGTGCTCGCCTCTCACACTTGAAAGGGTTAAGTGCTGGCAAGGCCAAAGGCTCCAGACTGCAGAAGAAACATCGCTTCAGTCAGCTTTGAAAGATTTCTAGCAAATATCAAATACTTGTTGATCTGCTCACGATAAACACCAGCAGGATTGTCAGCCCCTTTTCACTGTCTGGGGAGGTGCATCTACACACTGCACCCAGTAGGAGCACCATGCTGGCTTCCTTTAGAAAAGCTCAGTAGCTAGAAGCCTCATTCAGTGTCTCCGGTTCAGATGGACTGAAAGGAGATGCAATTGAAATGGCGAAGCCCTCTCCTCTCTGGTTCGGGCAGCTCAAATA